TTTTTTTTTTTTTTTTATTCCCCTCCTTGTTTTTACTTGTTTAGGCCAGTCGATTTTCACGAAACACGATACCATAAAAGCAACTATCAGGAAACGAGAATTTTCATTAGAACTTCACTTTTCTCGCTTGTAACCGCCGCTTGATTATAAAGCGCAAACGTCAGTTCAAACAGATAAATTATTTAGGTAAATCGAGTATTAAGCTTTCGGCTGTTAAATTGTTTTCCCCGGGAAGCGTTGCGCGTTTAACGCGTTTCATGCTGCAAACCTCGCAACATTTCCCTGTTCCCCGACGCAAGAACTGTAAACGCTTTCATATCGTTCAATTAAAGTGTCAAGAAACACTATACCATAGTTGTTCGTTTCCCTTTATCAACCGTTTGAACGAACGAAAAACCAAAATAATAACGTCGTGCCATTGTTTCAATTAGCCGACTGATTCGTGTTTTCGTAATGTGCATTTCAAGCGCAATTATGAAAGTCACGCGAATATAACGCAACTATGACAGTTTCATTTTTTTGTCTTTTGAGAAGTAACTAGTGTGTGTGTGTGTGTGTGTGTGTGTGTGTGTGTTTTGAATTCAAGCGAATTGAAAATAATAATCGCAATAACACAATATTAACGTCGATTTGTACTGCTTGAAAAACAGTAATTATAAAAGTGGTCTAAGTCAAGAATTTAAAAAAAAAAGAGTTTATCAGTTACTTTGCGTGACATTCTTCTTAAAATAAAATAAAATAATCTGACTGTAATTTCTAAGAATTTAACATTCAATTGTTATAAATGCATCTTTCAAAAGTCACAACTCTGTTAGTTGACGATGTTGCAAACATTACCTGTTTACCATTGAACTGAGTTTATTTAATAAAATCATTTCCTCACCTAAAGTTTGTTTCAAAACACGCCACGAATAACTTCACGATGATTGCATAAAACTAGTAATTTTCAAAACAACGCTCAACTTTGCTGCTCGAAGATTGTTGAATCGAAACTCGACGAAATCTGAAATCTCGACTCGGAGAATCACGCTGCTGAAAATAGTAGACGCAAACAAACTCATCCCGTGCAAGTTTGCAGCATGGAACGGTTCGAGAATGAACAGGTTGGAAGACGAGAAATCGAAACGTAACCGAGACCGAAGCCTCGATCACAGTTATTGTCGAACAACGGGCGTACAACGTTCGCTCCCTGGACAGAGAGCGATTCGAAACGGCTTTCCACCTGGCCACGTCACGAAATAACACCATTATCGACGAAAGGACTATTTAAGTCCCGGGCATTCAAGGGCCGAGCCTTCGATAACGATTTCCGTTGCGTGTGTACCAACCACGGGCCCGGCATGAGAATCCTCCGCCTCGAGCCTCGGAGGCTGACCGTGTTCAAGGCCACGGACCTACCATTCATTCTTCGACTTTCTATTTTCCCGCTCGCGGCCGATCCCCACCTCTGCGCGAGTTCCTTTCGAGATCTCTTCTCGCAGAAAACCTCCAATTGTCCTCGTCCCCCGTTGTTTTCGTCAGTCGTAAATTTTCATTTGCCAGATAACGAGTCGTTGGCGCGAGGCAGAACGAAGTTCTCACGACTTCCATCGTCGGATTCAAAGCGTGTTTAAAGTTGATCACGACTTCTCGTTCACGATGGAGGGGGGGGGGAGAGAGAGAGAGAGAGAGAAAGAGAAAAGTCGCGTTAAAATACACGATTGAAATCTCCCGTTCACGACAGGGGCTGGCTATGCCTGTAGATTACGCTCGAGGAAAATGATACCGAGACATTCAGCTCATTACGACTATTTAGCTTCGACAGGCGATTGAACTGGAGATCGAAGAGTTCTGGATGAAAAGGTTTAAATGGGAGAACGCTGGTAGCAAGGTCGTACGAAATCGTCTCCGGCAGCCTGTAAGCACGTAAATGAAGTCGACGATGCGTAAAAATCACGATACAGTCGGTCGCTCGTAAAATGCTGCTGAAAAGGCCCTCGATCGGACAAAATTATCAAGAGCCCTGTAAAAGAAGGAGAAGCCTGTAAGAAATGTCGTTTTGTCGCGACGGTACCGGAACCGATGATTGTATCCACCGATCATACCAATCGCTGTCTTTCGAATCTGGATCATAAAATTTAACGAGCGTTCCGTTTTAATTAAACGGGACGTTTCCCAATAACGAGTGACTCGTCATATTCTACCGTATATTTGCCGCGAAATTTGGCTGAATAATTTGACACGTTTCCTTCGAAGAGTCAGGTGGAAAATGATATCAGCGATAAAAGCAAAGATTTTTAACAGAGAATACCACGTGTTTAAAGAAGCTAACGAAGCTGTCGGACGAGTAGCTACATAATTCATTACCTCGTCTTCCATAAAAGACGTATCAAAATTGAAACGAAGACTAGAGATCCTTAACGAACCTACGTTCGTTATCAATTAAAGATAATTTCTACGAAACTGTTTGCCCTAAGAAGACACGAAAGTTTTTACGCAATTACGGTGAAAAATTGTCCATTTCAGTCTTCTCAAGGGAGAACAATCACCATATCGAACAATCATCAAACGTAATACTATATCAATGATGGAGCAGATTGCGAAAAGCAAGAAGAAAATTCAACGAAAAAAAAAACCCAAAAACCTCGTAAAGAAATTAAAAAATAATGGACAGTAGATGCAGCGTATAACTTTTCAATGTTTCACGTGGTCGTGAATAATAAAAGTAGAAGAAGATGTAATTGTTACTTTCGTCCACTCCGTTCTATCCCTTATACGAATTTTATAAATTTAAAGAGAAAATAAATGGTAAAAGTTCAGTAGTAATAGCTGTGAAAGCCAAAATAAATTATTGCTCCCGTTTCATTAACG